GGGGGGAGGCCCACTATGAAGGTCGGATCCAGTCTGACAGAAGCCCAGTCTGAGAGGGGAGGTCAGAATGAAGGTGTGATCCTGTCTGACAGAGGAGGCCCAGTGAGGGGGGAGCCCAGAATGAAGGTGGAATCCAGTCTGATAGAGGAGGCCCAGTCTGAAGGGGGGAGGCCAGAATGAAGGGGGGATCCAGTCTGATATAGGAGGCCCAGTCTGAGGGGGGAGGCCCAGTATGAAAGTGGGATGCAGTCTGTCAGGTGAGGCCAAGTCTGATAGGGGAAGCCCAGTATGAATATGGGAAACAGTCTGATAGAGGAGGCCCATTCTGAGGTGGGGGAGGTCCAGAATGAATGTGGGATCCAGTCTGACAAAGGAGGCCAAGTCTGAAGGTGGGAGCCAGTGACAGGGTAGGCATAGTCTGAGGAATGAAGGTGCCCGCCAGTTTGTCAGAGGAGACCTGGTCTGAGGGAGGCCCACTATGAAGATGGGAAGCTGTCTAACAGAGGAGGCCTGGTCTGAGGGGAGAGGTCCAGAATAAAAGTGGGATCCAGTCTGATAGAGGAGGCCCATTCTCAGGAGGGAGGCCCAAAATGAAATTGGGATCCAGTCTCACAGAGTAGGCCCAGTCTGAAAACAGAGGCCCAGTGAGGTTGGGAGCCAGTCTGACAGAGGAGGTCCCATCCTAGTGGGGAGGCCAGAATGAAGGTGGGCAACAGTCTGACAGAGGAAGCCAGAGGAAGTCTGAGCACAGGAGGCCAGTATGAAGGTTGGATCCTGTCTGATGGATGATGTCCAGTATGAGGAGGGAGGCCCAGCATGAAGGTGGGATCCAGTCTGACAGAGGAGTCCCAGTGATGGGGGAGGAACAGAATGAAGGTTCCAGCCAGTCTGATGCAGGAGGCCCAGTCTGAGGGAGGCCCAGTGTAAGGTGTGGTCCAACCTGGAGGGGTGGCCCAGGAGCCTGCCCTCACGGCTGGCCCCCTCAGGCAGCGACATGGTGGAGGCGGAGCGCAGCGGGATCCCCATCGTGACCTCCCCCTACCAGATCCACTTCACCAAGACGTCCAAGTTCTTCAAACCAGGCATGCCCTTTGACCTCATGGTGAGACCCGGGGTTGGGCTGCCTCCCCCACCCTTCCCCTGAGCATCAGCCACGCCTCTGGGTCGACCTGAACGCCCTCCACCTGCCCCTGCACTGCACCTGCAGGTGTTTGTGACGAACCCCGACGGCTCCCCGGCACGCAACGTCCCTGTGGAGACCCAGGACTCCAGCGCACGGTCCTTGACCCAGGAAGACGGCGTGGCCAAGCTGATCATCAACACACCCAACAAACCGGTGCCCCTGCCCATCACCGTGAGTCCTCGCCCACCTGTAGCCCTACACTCAGGCAATAGGGGACTGGATTTGCATGGAGGGAATCTGTCCTCTGCTACAGTCATCCTGCCACGTGAGGAGTGGGGTCCTTTTATTATATCAGGGGATCCTGCCATTCACAGAGTGTTTTCATCTGCGTAGAGGGGATCTTATCTGCACCAGCAGTCTGGCCATCTGCATAGGTATATTATAAGGATCCTGTGATTACATTTGACCCACCTGGATAAACCAAAACAGACTCCCCATCCTCAGACCCTTAATCCCATTTGCACAGTCCCTCTGGCCAGGGAAGGTACCTTATTCCCAGTTCCCAGGGATTAGGATGTGG